CTGGGGCTGGGCTTGGGATATGTGTACCAACTATGTTATCACTTCACTTGATGGTGTATTGTTTTGAAATAGTGTTTTATAGTACTGCATTGCTCATAGTGTTAATGCCAAAGTGAAGGGGGAAGATTTTGTTTTTAGGATAAACACGTTAATTTCTTTCTTTTTTTTATTAGTTGGGATTTAATACATATATCATTCCATATTCCAATCACGTCAAGTAGAATTATACAATTGTGACCACAATCAGTTTGCAAACCATCTTGTTCTACCTGAACTCCCTGACATCATTTTCCTTTTACCCTACTACCCCACCCTTCTCCCTGAACCTCTTATTCTACTTGATGTAAGTTCATCAGTCCTGTGTTTCATATATTGAAATATGGAAAATAATATAACACAGCTTCAAGAGGGTGACCTCCATTGACATAACACCGCCGAGAGGGGGGAGATTTTTACATTAGAATGCATTAGAAGGGATCAATAATGTACGTCCAAGGAGAGTATTCAGTGGGTGAAATCATTCTACGTGTATTTTATGGCATCACAAAGAGCCAGAGGAAAGGGGAGTGGAAGGCCTCCTTTCCCTTTGCTTTCTACTCTAGTAGAGGGTCAAGGTGTAGCACGGATTTCCACTAACATTGTAACCAGACAGCTGTTTTAGAATTCGACGGCAATCTCTCTGTACTCTACAGGATACAGGCATACATTTCGTGAGATTTGTCTCTGTGAGGAGGCAAACTCAAATCAACGGAAAATACTTCCCATAGGATTAGTTGCCTTTTGATTGGTTAGTTACCAGACAGTCCAGCACATGTCGGAGTTGCAGTTGGGCCTAAGCTAATAACTCCTTGCCTCTCTATCTCAAACTTTCCCCCCACCATTTCTTATCCCAATCAAGGAACAAAAAAAGGATATTTGCTAAAATAACAGCATAGAAAATTGTAGGAAAACTCTTACTCAATTTCTCTCTGGGATTGTATTTATGAAAAAAGATTCTTAACTTCATATAGACATCAAGATTTTTGAATCACCTTCCGGCCAGGTGATTGAGGAAAATAAATCTCACTTTATTGTATCTTTATAATACCTGAGGGCTAATTGTGCTGGTGGTGGTAGTGGTAGGTATCAAGACGGTTCTGACCCATAGTGCCCGTATGTACAGCAGGTTGAAATGTTGCTCAGTCCCGCCCCATCCTCACGATTGTTTTTATGTTTGCTGCCATTGTTGCAGGCACCATGTCAATGCATCTCCTTGAAGGTCTTTAAAAATGAAGGTCTTTTTCGAAGCCCTTCCACTGTACCAAACATGATGTCTTTTCCTAGGGACTGACCTCTCCAGTTGACATTCCAACATACGTGAGATGAAGTCTCACTATCATTGCTTAAAAGGAGCATTTGGGCTGTATTTCTTCTAAAACAGATTTGTTCATCTGACTGTCCATGGTACTTTCAATTCTTCACCAGCACCGATCCTTTTCCAGTTTTCTTTATTCAGCGTCCAATTTTCACATATATATGAGGTGATAAAAAATTGCATTGGTTGTGGATCTAAGCAAGATAAAATTCTTGGCAACTCCAATCTTTTCTCCATTTATTCATGGTGTTACCTATTGGTCTAGTTGTGAGGATTTTGGTTTTGTTTACATTGAGTCATAATCCATATTGAAAGCTGCAATGCTTGATCTTCATCAGAAAATACTGCAAGTCCTTCTCATATTCAGCAAGCACGTTTCCAGCACCTGCATATCACAGGTTGGTAATAAGCCTTTCTCCAGCCAATCCTGATCTCACGTTCTTTGTCACATAGTCCAACCTCTAGGATTATTTGCTCCGTATATAGATTGAACAAATATGGTGAGAGGATACAATTCTGATGCATACTTTTCCCTATTTAAGTCATGCAATAAGTGGTAAATTCTATAAAACAAGTTTTCACACAGTTGGGAATGTTAGTACTGTCTGATTATTTTTGAATTTAGATGTGGCTGCCTAAAGCTTTTTGTAGTATATTTCTAATTGGAAAATCTCTACTCCTTATGGGCCAGTGACAGTGAATCATATTTTCCTCAACCTTCTATGCCAAAAATAAAGTGGCCTTAGCATTCTCTCTCATTACTTCATATAATGGCATTTTGCCCATCTCCAAAATACCCATCTCAAGCAATCTGAGAATTTCTCCGTTCTCCCTACCCAGAGCCCATCCTTCCCTCTAGTTCATGAATTTCTAGAGATGCCTTTCACATGCTGAGGTTCTTTTCACATGCAGTGAGGTGCATGTGAAGTCAATGCTATCTCTGCTGTGCTCTCTGTCTTGTAGGCATTTCTTGACGTTGCTAATGTATAGATTTTTGTAGTTTCTAGAGCTTATAAGTTGTGTCTAGGTCATATACTTCTGAAATTTTGGTGGGTGGGTTTAGGTTTAGCTCATCATTTTGAACCAGAGCTATGCATTTTATCATATGATAGTGCTATTGGATATAATGGTAATTGAGAATAGTAATAGTCACCTAATGCAACCAACCTGGTCTGTAGTGGGTTGTGTCAGCTCTATTCAGGGCAGAAAGGTCAGCTCAGAAGATCATGGCAATTGGTTGGGAGAATTCCAAGAGTCATTCTGATAGATAATCTCACAGGATTGAGGATGATCATTGAGGCATATTATGAAAAAAGGTTTAAGAAAGTTGAAAATTGTCTTGGTGTAGAAAAAGCCCAGGAAGTTGTGCCAAGTAGTTTTTTTCCACTACATAAAAATGAGCTGTTGCTCTACCATCTAGGGTAGCAAAGACAAGAATTTCACTGAGAAACTTACCTCATTCACCCTATGAGTGCTAACTTGCCCCTCCAGACTCCCCTTTGCTCCCCAAACTTAAATACCATTTAAAAGGAACCACTTGAGTCCTTCCTTCCAACTTACCCAAACTTCTCTTTTGATGTAGTATAAATTGAAGAGCACAGAGTTATTCTTTTTTTTTTTAAATTCCAACTTGAGGTTTGAATTTTTCCTTCAGCTCTTTCAGATTTTGAAATGCTAGCATGTCCTTCTCTTTTGATCTTTTATTACAGTTTTATTGGCACATAATCTACCCATCATACAATTCAATGGCCCTCTTTCATCAAGAAGAATTGTACAATCATCAGCACAATAAATTTGAGAACATTTTCTTTTTTAAAAATCACTTTTAAAATCAGTTATAGTGCTCCTTCCTCCTCCCACATACATGGTTTGCTTCTCTCCTTGTCTCCTCTTCCCACCCCTATAGCCTTTGCCTCAGTTATTATCTCTGTGCACCTACTCCTTCTGATAGAGCACAGAACTCTTTGGCAGAAGGGTTAGATAGATGAAAACACCTTCAGAAGTGTATTGATCTAAATGCAGGATAGGTCTAGAAACAATAGTTTAATATTTTGACATTTTTTGTTTAATAAAGGTTGTTATGGTTTTGTGACTAATCCTTAAACACCTATAGTACTAAATAAAATCTCTGTGACATAACTTCTAATTTAATTGCATAAAACAGTGTATCAGTTGTACTAGGTGTCTATTACTATTCAAAAACTGTAGGATCAACTTATCAATTATCATTATAAGCAATATTAATGTAGTCCATATCCGCAGAAATGCAATGGAACCTGTAAAGATAGATCTCCTAGGCATTAATGAGTGGAAATGAACCAGTACTAGCTGTTTTAATTAGGTAACCATATGGTTTACTATGCCAGGAATGACAAATTCAAGAGGCATGGCATCACATTCTTCGACCAAAAAGGACGTTTTAAGATATATCTCAAAGTAAAATGCTACCTGAGATAGGATGATATCTATCTGTATTCAAGGAAATCCAATCAATACAATTATTATTAAAATTTATGCATCAACCACTTAGGCTAGTGATGAAGATTGAAGAAGTCTACCAAAGTCTTCAGATTGAAATTGATTGAACGTGCAATCAAGATGCATTGATCATTATTGGTGATTGGAATGTAAAGTTGGAAACAAAGAAGAAGGAACAGTAGTGGAAAATATGTCCATAGTTACATTAACAACGCTGAAGATCACATGATAGAATTTTGCAAGACCATTGACTTGTTCATTGCAAATAACCTTTTTTTGTAAGAATATAAGCAATAAAGGTAGTAATTTTCTAATTTACATAGGGTTTCCACTGATGAAACTGACTCAATACCACCTAATAACAGCATACTACACTTTATCTTTAACATCAGTTTAAAAAATGGTTTTAAAAAATCTTAAATAATTGATTAACTTAGTTCCTATTAGGTTAATAGAAGATAATTCTTTTAATAGAATCTTTGTCCTATGAGATCCACTTTTATTTGAATATTTCTGATGAAATAAGATAGCTCAAATTCACTGAAGTGACCTTTTTAATGATTAATGACTAATTTTGACATTTATTATAAAATATATGAAAAAAATGATTGTTGAAGTTTCATGTCACAAATCATGCTTTTGACACTTAAGGATTGATTCTGACTCTAAGCTTTGATGGCACTGACAATAACTTGCTTAACTTATTGTTGATTGTTTTCATAATATTTATGATCTTATTACATTTATATGTATGCTTTGTGTTTGACATTATCTGATGATGAGGTTAGTACTTTCTCACCTATTTAAGGTTGTTTGATAGCTTGTTCTAAACTGCTTAGTAGGTTTTTTTTCCACAGAGTTTCTTATTTTTTATTTTTTGTGTCAAGGAGTTATTTTTCATGTTTCTTAAAGTTTTAGGTGACTTAATGTACTGTCAAGAGCAAAGATAGTGGTTTGGGAATGCAAAAGTTACAGACACTTCTGTGGGAATTCTGCCTGACTCAGGAGTGGATGGTATGTGGCAGTGACACTGGGATCTATTACAGTAGAACCCCCCTGACAAACACTTAGACTCACACTTCCTTTGGTTTAAATTTATATTTAAGAAATATTAAATGCTAGTTTACAACTTATTTAAATTATATAATATCCTCATTATTTTTTAAAGGATGTTTTCAATGCAACTTCAAAATATAAAGGGATACATTTTAGTAACTCTTCGGGAAGACGAGACCTACCTCCCAAGCAAGGACCTGGTCCTGGACATTATGAGATAGGCCAGTAAGTAGAAAAATTAATAATAATAAAAGTGATACCTCTAGTGTTGTTCTTGATTATAACATACTCGAAAGCTACTACGTTTTTATGAACCAGATGATGTCATACCTACTTTACCCATATTATCTCATTTACTTTTTATAGCAACTCTGTATATAGTTACTATTGTGACACTTTGTGTGTGTGTGAAAAGTCCAAAAATCAAAGAGGATAAATAATGTATTTAAGATATGCTGTTATTAAGTATTGAGAGTTAGACTGAGATGTGCTTGAATAAAAAAACTCTTGTATGTAAGTACTAACATATACAATTATAAAACAGGCAAAGGATCAGATAAAATGTAAAAGAATGTGATACAGAATACTATTTTATCCCCGGTCCTTGTCTTCATTGTCCTTCACTTCATGATGGACATACACAGCATTCCTGTTATTCAGAGCAGTAACATTAAGCTAAGGCAAAGTTTATGAAGTTTCAGAAAGTAATTCCATTTCTGGTAAAACAACTCTTTTGTCTTCAATTTCTGTCACTCTTACAGTAAAAGAGACCTTCTCATGAGTTCATGTTAGGCAAAATTAAATAATGAGTACATTAATCACTCCTTTTGATTAATAATTTTTTAAAGAATCCAGATTCTTTCCTTTGTATAGGATGAGCTTTCTCCAGGTACTTGCACAGTTATTATATGACCAGTTTATATGCCAGACTAATTCATATGCATCTGTACAGTCAACTATGGACATAACTTAGGCTCTTGCTTGGACTCCTCTGATACAGTTGATTCATGAAGCAAGTATTGTTGGAATTCTTGCTGTGTGCTAGAAATACTCAATATAATAACTATGATTAAAAAGAGTAAGACATGGCTTTGCTTTGGGACATTTATAATCTTCTACATTAATATTATGCAGGAAATTTCCTTTCCATTAAAATAACTCTCCTATAATTTTTAGTTTTATTCCTTTAGTTGTATTAGAACTTAAACATGCATATTTAACCTAAAAAAATCTAAACTTAATATCCTCACCATTTCCCCAAACAAAACAATGTCTATAGAATGTTCTAACCCTGATCATTCCCTTCTTGATATATGTTTTGTTATTTAGTGCTTTTATCCATTTTTTTCCATTTTCCAGACTAGCTGTTTGGTTTGCTTGCTTATCTACCATCTATTAATTCATATGTCAGTTTTATATGTTGTGAAGTAAAACTGACCCTTTTTAATTGCATGTTGTTGCTAGATGCCATCTGGTCTGTTCTGATTCTTAGTCACTGGGTGTACAACAGATGAAACATTGCCCCTTCCTGTGTCATCCCCACAATTGTTATGTTTGAGCCCATTGTTGCAGCCACTGTGTCACTCCATTTCTTTGATGGTATTCCTCTTTTGCTGACCCAATACTTTACCACTTTTCCAGGGACTAGTCTCTCTTGATAACATGATCAAAGTATGTGAGATGAAATCTTATCTTTCTTGCTTC